AAACAATCATCCTAGTTTTAGTCCTACCCTTCGTTTTAGTCCTTTATTCTAGCCTGTAGAGATCCTTTTGGATGCAGGCTCTGTCGCGTACCATGCTGGTGAGCTTTCCTCCTTGCTGCCTGTGGGTTCTTACCAGTCAGATGCCAGGGTTGGACAGCGCAGGTCCAACCCCAGAGAGCCCCCTCACGATTGACATCACTACTCATCGAAGCACTTCTGATTTCCAGCCTACTGGACGATCACCTGGCCCACTCCCCTTTCCATGACAAATCCGGCTATGCTGTGTCTACTGTGGTCCAAACTGACAGACTGAGGTTTAGTACTGGAAGAGACCTTTAAGTTCACCTAGCCTGCCCCCTTTGTTTTGTATGTGAGGAAAACAAAACCCAGAGAGGTTAACTGACGTGTGTCAAGTCATGGAAGTAGTAAATGATGTGTTCAGAGCTGGTACCTGAACCTCCATCTTCTTCACTAGAATCCATTTCCCTTTCCATTGCACCATAGTGAAAGAGACATGTTGATGTGTTCTGATTTGTATTTGGACAAATAACAATTATGTTCATTTTTGTTAGGGGGGATTTGTATCAACTGGTTAATGAGTGTAATAGCCATAATGATAATATTTAACATTTATATAGTGCTTTACAAATATCTCATTTTAATCTTCACAGTAATTCTGGGAGGTAGGTGCTATTATTATCACTCCCATTGTAAAGATGATGAAACTGAGGGAGACAGAGGCTAAGTGCCTTTCCTACTGTCATACAGCTAGTAAGTGTCTGAGGCTGGATTTGAAGTCAGTCCTTCCTGACTCTAGGTCTAGCACTCAATACACTGTGCCAGTCATGATACGACATGAACACTTATCACTGACGTTATAATCAAAACAACTAGCATCAAATCCATTTTTTTTACATTTGCCCACAAGTTAGAATCATTATAGAAACATGAAATTGTTATTTTGAATTTTGTTAAATACTCCCAAAGTTACTATGTGCTGCATAGGAAAAATCAATTGATCACAGCCCCAGGTCTTTTGGACTTGGTGATCCTAACCTTAAAGGGCGATGTAGATGTCATTTGTTGTTATTCAGCAAGGCATGGAAGTGAATTATTGAAGGCTATGTATGCCAGCAGAGAATAAGTCTTAGCAAATTTGACCTCCTTGGAAAGGCTTTGAATATAGGTCCTGATGACCTATTGGGGAACCAACCCAGCAAAACATGGAGAAGCTCATCCCCATTAAGTTGGCCACCAGGTGATAAATTCTTTGGCCATAGCAACCCAGTAACAACAATAACAACAATAACCTGAAACTGCCTGATACATTATTGTACACCTTGTACATAGCTCAAACATGCTTGCACACATATCGACACTATTCAGATATGTTACTGTATCATAGGTTTATAGGCTTCAGCTCTTATTGTTTGCTGCATCATCATCATCATCATCATCTCATCATCATCTTAATAGATATAATAATGGAAGGACCATTGCCATTGCAAGATACCAGGAAGCTTCTGACAGGAGATGGACTGGAGCAGCATCTTGAATAAATGAAGGGAGATACAGCCTTTAGAGCTAGAAGGGGTGGGGGTGGGGTCTGTGAAAGTCCCTTCATTTTTGGGGTGTGGAAAATTGAGACCTAAAAAACTTAAGTGACTTGCTTTATAGTAAGCTGTAAAGCTGGGCTTCCAGTGTAGGAATTCCAACTCCAAATCTAGTGCTTTTCCTTTATATCTGTATTGGTGATATGCAAATAGTTAGATTCTCCCATTTTATAAGCTATTTGCTGGGAATAAATTACATAGTTTGGCAGCAGCATTAATTCTTAGAGGACGCTAGGGTACTATTTAGTGTACCCAAACATTCATTTACAAACTTAAGTGTACTGAAGCAATAATTTCTTAAGTGGTACCTTGAAGGAGCTGGAAAGAGTTAATGGTGCTTCTGGAGTGCCCTACATTTCCTGGGACAATCTGAATCAGCATTTGCAATTATTGGACCAAAACAATCAACTGGTTAGAGAACATGTCTAATAGGGATTGTTTCTATCTTTATACCATACTGGTTTTCCTCCTTCCTCTTTGCCCCTTCCTTCTTTGTCTTTTTTATGATTTCTTCTTCCTTCTCATGACTCCCATTTTTCAGCCCATTGGTTCTCTGATTTTCTTATTTTTTCCTTCCATGGAGATTTCATCTAATCTCATGGCTTCAACTGTTTCATCTATGTAGATATCTCCACAAACTATATTTGCAGTTCTGACCTTTATTTCCCCAGAGTCATAGTTGCCAAGTATCTTTTTTGGATGCCCTGTTGTTTGCTTTAAACGTAATGTCTCTAAAGCTGAATTTGTCTTCCTCCCTCTTGACTTCCCTTTTTTCTGTGGATGTTAAGTGGTTCTTTATTTATTCATTCATTTATCCATTTATCCATTTATCCATTCATTCATTCATTCATTTATTTATTTATTCATTCATTCATTCATTTATTTATTTATTTGTTTATTTAATTATTTATTTGTCTGTCTGTCTGTCTGTCTATCTATCTATCTATCTATCTATCTATCTATCTATCTATCTATCTATCTATCTATCTATTTCGTGAGGCAGTCGGGGTTTAGTGACTTGCCCAGGGTCACACAGCTATTAAGTGTCAAGTGTCTGAGTCTGGATTTGAACTCAGGTCCTCCTGACTCCAGGGCCAGAGCTCTATCTACTGTGCCACTTAGCTGCCTCAATGCTAAATCTTGAAGCCTTATAGTTACTTCTGATTCCTTGTTTTCTATTGGGCTCCCATATGTAATCAGTCACTGAGTTTAATCAATTCTTTACAAACTACTTGATTTCCATGTCTTCACAGGTTCTTTTTGCTCATTTTGTTCTAGCCAAATTTTACCCATCCCTTCAAGAACCAACTCATGATGCCATACTACTTTTAAATTCCTCCCTAACCACCTAGACCATTACCTCTTCCCAAATCCTATGGCAGTTATAACATACACTTGACATTGAATAATGATGAATGCCTCATAGCATCTTTTTAGCTCCCATCTTGAATACTTTTATGATTTAACCTTTAATGTGTGTGTCTTATTTCCCCGTATATAGACTAGTCTTTCTGAAATAACCCAATTCTTTGAAACCAGGAATGACTTTATTTATACTTCATTATGTCAGCTAATATAGTTCCTGCCACATAGTAGGTAATTGTGTTCATTTATTGATTTGTTTGGGTGGCACTTAAGATTTGGGTCTGCTGTAGCCAGTGTCCCAGCCAACTTGTAATTGATCTCAAGATAAATTTCTGTAGAAAAAATAAGCAACATACTAGTTATGGACTTTTTGGTCTTTTGAAGATACATGTATATATTCGTGTGTGTGTGTGTGTGTGTGTGTGTGTGTGTATTTCTGTTAGTCAATTTAAGATGAAAATTGATAAACATATTTTGCATGAAGGAATAGATTCTAAGTATTTTGGTTATTGAGTGTTTATAAACATTCTCCTGACAAACCTCTTTCTTAATCTTTTAAGGATGCTAGAAATATTAGAAGATGATTTGCATATAGAATACTGAGACCGCTGTATTTTCTATAAGTGCTGGATTAACTGCTTAGTTGACACTGTTATGAAAAAATGTTTTTAAAGAAGTGTTGTACAATTGAAAATACCATGCCAGTACCAAAATGAATTATGAGAATTTGCAAATTACATGCACAGATTTCTTTCCAAAACTTTGTAAAATCTCAGAAGGCAATAAAGCCACTTGATCTAATGAAATGAAATTCTCTTGTCTTGCTCTCTATAAGGTCATTTTCCTAATTCTTTATGTATTGCTAGACTGCTCAGTTCCTCTGTGCTTCCATTCTCATGGGCAGCTTCTCCATACCTTAATTTAATATGCATTTTCTTGTATTACTTGTGGTCAAAAGAATTCATCACCTGGTGTCCTTCTGGTGATGAGCCTGATGAAACGAGCTGGTCCTTGGAGGGCACGCAGACAGACAGGCACACACATACTCATACTCTATTGCTTATGTCTGTGGTTGAAGCTTATTCACCTTGGTAGGAGCTTGCAGAAGATTTAATCTACCATTTGGCTCCTTTTCTGATGCCATCTTCTGATGCTTTATTGCTCTGACTTAAAAGCTTTGGCAGACCCATCCAAGTAGGAAAGACTTCCAAGGATGGAACCAGCATGGTCCCTGTGTCATCTGGGTGCCAACCCAGCTAAGTTGGAAAACTTTATCACTCAGACATTAGGTAATGCATTTCTAGGCAACAGCAACTTAGGAAGATTTCCTTTTAAGGTAAAACAGGGGTTACGACCTGCACTGTTTGAGGGAGTATTCACACCCACAAAATCATGGGTCCTTAATGTGGAAGTAAATAATCACACAAGAATTCCACTCAATATAATCTCTTCTTTGTAAGCACTGGTGATATAGGTTATTTTCACATTTGGGGTGAGGAGAAGGCAAAATGATTAACCAGGCGGTCTGTCTGTCTCTTCCCTTCCTCCTTTCCTCCCTCCCTTCCTCTTAGAGAGAGGCAGGTTCAGATCTTTCCTCTGACACTCACAGGCTCATGTGACCCCAAACAAGTCATATCCCCATTCAGTGTTCTAGACAACTCTCCTAAGACTGTAAATGGCAGAGACGGCCCTGACCTGGATTGACAGAAGGGAATTCTTTTTCGTGGAGCTTCCTGTATCACTGGGATTACGGGCTCCATCCCTATCCCTAACCTTCTTTCTTTGTAACCAGAGATGATTATTGTTATTTGTTTTATTTGAGTTCATCGTTCCCCTTTGACCACATGAACACACAATATATGTGTATCCATACCCACGTATGCATATACTGCATATTTTAAAATATATGCATATGTGTGTATACATATACACATCCACTGTTTTACATATATTACATTATTACATATTATGTATCTTATACATTATGTATATGTACGTATTTATATAGCTAGATCTATCTATCTAATGCCTTTTCCCTGATGGAGGGTTGACTTGTCCTTTCACCAGTCAGTTAATAGGGATTTATTAATCATTTACTATGTACCAGGCCCTCTGCTAAGGACTGGGGATATGAAGAAAGACAAAACCACGTCCTTGTCCTGAAGGAACCTATGTTCCAGTGGAGGACACACCATGCAAACAGGTAGCCACTATAAGGTATATGCAGTATAAATGTAATCTCATGGGGGTACGATGGGGACTAAATCTATATTGTAGGAAAACAAAGTCCATCCATCACTGCTCTGGGAGGACCTCAAGCTGCAGAGCAAGGGCCAGCGATCTCACAGCCACAAACTGCTGGGAAGCATGTTCCTCCTTGGCAGGCAGACAGGCAGGCAGGCATCTCCGTACGTTCCTTTCTGTTTGAGGGCCGAAGTACTAGATGCTTAGACGATTAAATTACTTAATGAAGATTTTTTAACACACCTAATGTCTTTCAAAAGGGCCTTTCAGCTGAGGAAGGTTCTGTGGGCTGGGAGAGAGAGGAGCTTTCACACCTCTGAACAGAGCTTCTTAGATACTGGCTTGTGTTTGTAGGGAGCCTTCCATGGCCCTCTGCTGTTTACTTTTTGACCCTGAATCAGCAGAAGAGCCTTGCTCAGGTTCTGGATAAAGCCCTTCCTCGGACAGGCTCCCTTCATCTAAAAAGAGAAAAGAAATTATAATTTTGGTCTGGGGAGGTAGCCAGGCAGTCTATAGCCGGACACAAGGTACCTTTTAAATTCTGATGCTTAAACCTGATAGAGCTGTTCCTTTCAAGTGGGCTTGTAAAAGACCTGGCGTTTAGAGTGTCTGACACTTTTCTCCTGGGGGAGCTCATAGTACCTAACCATGTCCTTCTTGCTTGTGTCGTCAGAAACCTTTGTGGAATTTAGTGGTGTAGCTGGTTTTGCTCTCTCAAAGTTCATAGGGCTGAAGTTGTTCTAATGAGTTGGCTATGAGTCGTTCTTATGGGATGTCATTCTTTTATACCTAATTCAGAGAATCTTGAAGCACGCTAAAATGAATGTGGCCATTGTTCTGACTGGTGGCACTTCAAGCCTGCTTTGAGGAGGTGGGTATGGGATAGGGAAACCCACACTAATCCACCCACCCTCTACTCTCTCCTGTACGTCGGGAAAGTTGGCCATCATATGTATATACAAGACACTTCCAATTTATGTAGGAGCATTGCTGTCTTTAGAATATGGTACTTTGTGTGCTGGCTGGTCTGGGGCAGTTTATGGGAAAATTTGGCAGATAAGAGCTTTTGCACATATGGTTGGAATAAAGAGTCTATGGTGGGAATCAAGAGGGGAAGGCTGAAAATTTGGAGGAGATTAATAGACTAACAAATCAATTTAAAAAAATTATCAGTGACAAAAACATGATTTTAATGTGTTGAATGGCAGCAAGGAAAAGCTGTGAAGATCATTAACATTGTGTGTACTTGATGGATGTGGAGACAGAAAAAATTGGGGGGGGCGGGAGAGAGAGGGTCCATCTAGAGCATCTGCTTCACAGGATTGATTATGAGGAGCAAATGAGCTAGAGCTTGTAAGGTGCTTGGCACAGTGCCTGGCACGTAGTAGGTGCTATATAAATGCTTGTACCCTTTTCTCTCTTCTTTTTGCTCCTCCCTGTCTCCTAGAACACCAGGTTTCCTGGGCAGCCCCACATACTTAAATTTCAAACCACTTTTGTATTTGTTTTCCCTATTTGTAAAATGGAAATGTAGCCAGATGGTTGTTCTGGTGAGTCTCAGTTGCTTAATGTTATTAAAATCACAATACTATAAATCCTGAAGGTACCATTTCTTTTACAGATTATTGTTGAAGATTAGGTTGTTATCCAAATCGTTTTTCCGTCCCTCTCTTCTGCCCCCCTCCCCCATTTCCCTAGCCTTCATTCTGTATTCTATTTCTAAGCAAAGAGAGAAATATTCTCTAAGGTTCCAGGTTGTTCCCTATTTCCCATATGGGCTTCATTGCCTCTTGCTAGATAGCACAATGGGTGAGTTCTGGAACCTGGAGTCAGTAAGACTTGAGTTCAAATCCCCACCCCTACCCCCACCCCCCAGACACTTACTAGTTGTGTGATCCTGGACAAGTTACTTCTTAATGTTTGCCTCAGTTTCCTAATCTATAAAATGGGGAGAATATAGCATTTCATAGGGTTGTTGTGACTGCCAAATGAGACAGCATAGCACTTTGCAAAGCTTGAAAGCACTATACAAATGCTAGTTATCATCATCATCATCATCATCATCGCCATCAATCCAGCTGTGTAAAGGGGCAGCTAGGTGGAGCAGTGCATAGAGCAATTGGCTTGGAGTCAGGAGGACCTGAGTTCAGATCCAGTTTCAGACACTCATAAACTTTGTAACCCTGGACAAGTCACTTAACCCCTATTTGCCTCAGTTTCCTCATCTGTAAAATGAGCTGGAGAAGGAAATGGCCAACCACTCCGGTATCTTTGCCGAGAAAACCCCAAAGGGGGTCACCACTTAAAACAACCCAGCAACAGCAGGCTGTGTAAGCTAGTTTTCCCGAAGCTCTCACCAAAGGTGGCTGCTGCTTCTGCTCACTGTAGTTTGTCCCCAATTTACTGATTGTCACCTTAACCCCTCAGCCAGTTTTTTCTTGAGGGTGGCACAGTCAGTTCCTGCTTAGAAAGCAGATGTCACACTTAGGTATTTCTTTTTTGTACATTACATAGTTAGGGTTTGGGGAGGAAAGTGAGGAGACTTTTATTTTGAAGGCATGGAAGTGCTGTATTATATTTATTTGTGTTATTCAGTTTGAATTCAGCAGATATTTATTAAGTGCCTACTGTGTGCAAGTCATTATGCTATTGATCCAGGAAAAAAAAATAAAGAAATAGTTCTTTTTCTCATTTTTGCCTTATGGAGAAAAATACACGAATTTATACAAAGTAATACAAAAAAGCCATCTGGAGGGCCAGAGTCTTAATAGAAGGAGGAGGGTGTCAATAAAGACCTCATTATTCACTGTTTAAAACAGTAAATTACTCATCTAAGAGATCCCTCTATTTTAAAGACCATCAATTAGAAAGGTGCCTTTTTTTTGTGCCTGAATTGGTATGCGTGGAAGGGTGCCAGTGAAATCATGGGTCTTTGAAGTATATTTGGAATTAAGGTTTCCTTGAATACCTTTTCAGTGCAGAAAATATTGGAAATTATTGAAGGAAAAAAATCTGGGGCCACTTAATGTTTAACAGCTGCTCATTGTCATCCAGGCATCCTTGCCTAATGGACAGTGCACAATCCACTAATTATGATACTTAATTGAATGAAAATTCTGTCAGAGCACATATTAAAAGTTTCCCTCCAAAACCAGGAGCATTTAATTAAGAAGTACAAGTAGGGGAGGTAGCTAAGCGATACAGTGCTTAGAGTATTGGACTTGGAGTTAGGAAGACCTGAGTTCCAACTCTGCCCTCAGTGACCTGAGGCAAGTCAAGTAATCTCTCGTAAGTTTCTTCATCTGTATAATGGGGTCTTCTTGGCAAAGATACTGGAGTAGTTTGCTGCTTCTTTCTCTAGCTCATTTTCTAGATGAGGAACTGAGGCAAACAGAGTTAATTGACTTGCCCAGGGTCACATGGCTAGTAAATGTCTGAGACCATGGGGTGCTCTATCCACTGAGCCACCTACCTGTCCTTCCTTAACAAGAGTGATATATAAATGTTAGTTATTAGTTTGTTAGAACAATGAAATCACAGTCCAAACTGTTCCTTCAAAAGAAGAAAAGGGATATAGAAGGAAGCTATTTTCTTACCTGTACAGTGGAGGTAAGGATGGGAGGCAACGGAACAAGGAGGGGATGGAGTAGATTATCTCAGATGATGTCTGTGGTTCTAGTTCTGAGCTTCGGGAATTCTATGGAAATGAACTTCAGTTTGAGACTGGAAGCATTGGAAGAAACAGAAGGGGCTTCCGTGGGGCATGAAAAAAGAGTAATCTTTGAAATTGGTTCCTTAGGTAAGATGATAGGATCACAGATTTAGAGGTGGAGGGGATTTCTAGAGATTGTTGAGTCCAACCTCTTTGTTTTACAGAAGCTGAAATCGAGGCTAAGAGATAGCTAGTATGTGTCAGAAGTGGGGTTCAAACCCAGGTCTTCCAGAAAGTCCAGCATCCTAGCCACTGTACAAAATATTATTATTAATAAAAATAGGCATTTATATAGCACTTTAAAGTTTACAAAGTGATTTATATTATATGTAACAATCTATGTATTATCCATCCATCCATGCATCCATTTATCCTCACCATACTCTGTCCTGTGAGGTAGGTGGTAATAACCCTCATGAGGCAGCTAGTGCTACTGGGACTAGAGTCAGGAAGACTTGAGTTCAAATCTTGTTTCACTTAGTACCTGTATGATCTCGAGCAAGTCCCTTAACCTCTTTCTGTCTCAACATCCTCAAATATAAAATGGAGATGATCATAGCACCCTGCCTCACGGGGCTGTTGTGAGGATCAAATGAGGTCTTTGTGTAAAACATTTAGCACAATGTGTAGTACATAGCTGGCATTTAATAAAAGGCTTTTTTCCCTTCTCATTTTACAGATGAGTAAACTGAGGAACTGAAAGATTAAGTGACTTGCTTATTGGCACTCAGCAGATATGTAGTTGAGGAAGGATTTAAACCCAGGTTTTTCTGACTTCAAGTCCAGCACTCTGTTCAGTATGCCATATTTCTTCTCAGATATAGAAGATATAACATTTACTTTTTTAGAGCAAGTATCTAGGAGCAAAGGAACATGTAGGGTATACTGGATATAATTTCTTCTCTTTTCAACAAATACTTGGTTTCTGGCCTTTGTTTATAGAATATTATTTTTTAGAGATATAAGTTACCTAAGAGATCATTAGTTAAATTGCCTTTAGAGATGAAGAAACTGAGGTCAAGAAGGTTAAATCATTTTCCCAAAGTCATATAGCTAATAAGTGTTAAACGTGGGGACTAGAATCAAATCTCATAATTCCTGGTACAGTACTTTCCCCAATATATCACATGACCTCTAAACAGCTAAAAGTTAGCTGTTTAAAAATTATGTAGTACAATTTATATCTCTGTGTGTGTGTGTGTGTGTGTGTGTGCACGCGCGCGCATGTCTATGTGTCTATAATCTAGCCTTTTTGAAAAAAAGGAGTGTCATGAAAATCCCTGGCTTACCCCGTACAGTTGTGGCTCCGTCCCCCAGCTTTGAGTTAATCACATTTGATTTTGTACATTGCTGTTTATTAGCATCCCTTAAACAGCTGCTGCTTCTGGTCTTGTCCAATCCTGCTCTAGTGACCAAACCCCAGAAATCTGACGACTTTTCATGTCTCGACTCATGCCATTCTAGGGCAGCTGTCACCTCCCACAGCTAGAAGTGAACAATGAGATTCCTGAAAAACTGTTTCCCTGTTGACATACAGAAGCACATGGGCCGATTTCTTCACTTCCAGAAAGACAGCTATGGTGATGACTTTGCAGTTTGTTTTGAAATAATACAAACCTTGAAAGGCTTCCTTTAGGCCACACTGATGCATTTAGCAAACAGCAGTTTTGTTCGTTGTGTTTAATTAACCAAACTGGAAGAGAGTTCCATTCCTACAAAGTGATGCCAAGACAAAAGCCAAACATTTCATCACAGTGATACTTTAGTTTTTGTGTTTGTTATTGAAATATTTTAAGAGTTTTTTGGTGAGGGGAGGAAAAGTGGTTTTGTGGTAGCTTCAGTTTTTCAAGATCTGTTTCAAATCCTGAATTTCAGGTTTTGTGTTTCTAATGAATTCAGGTTTTAAATGACAGCTATTCCTAAAAAGTCAAACTGTGCTTTGATTTTTTGATACGTGTTTCATAGAAAAGATTGAGACTGATGAGAATTTGTTTTAATTTTGTTGCTTTAATTACTTATTTGAGAAAGGATGATATGGGTTTATATTCCCATTCTCTTTGCTTCTGTTGCAAACACTGTAAGATCCTTACTAAGGGAGGGTCTGTTTTCATTTCCTCAACACTTTGCTGGCTTTTGTAGTAGGTGCTTGCTAAATTTGTGTTGAGTTGAACTGGAATGAGTTGTGTCCAGGATACAATGATTGTTAAGAATGAACAGAGAACTTGTGTTGGAAGTTCCCTTGTATGTAACAGGACAAAGCACTTTGCTCAGTGCTTGGCATGTATAGGCATTATATAAATGCATATTCCCTTCCCTTCCCCTTATCCCATGCTTCTTGTCACTAAAACCACACACAGAAACCCCATAAGCCTTATGAATCTCAGAAGTGATGATCTAATTGGACACATTTTTTAATCAGTGTCTCTTTTAGTGGAAGACTTATCTTTTCTGTCTGCTTTTCTAGCCTACTTTGGTTGACATTACAGAGGAATAGGAATTTTGGTGAGAAACTCATGGGATGTGTGAGTGAATGCAGCTTTTCTGTTCCTGGACATTTCCCTCAAAATTTGAAGAAAACATTGGAAAGAGATTGTAAGTCACGTTTTGTCCAGAGTGTCATGTTACAGGCACAATCAACAATTAGTTAACAAGCATTTATTAAGCACTTACTATATGCCAGGCACTGTGCCTGGCAAAAATGAAAACGTTTTCTGCCCTCAACGACCTTATTGTTGTTGTTGTTGTTCTTCTTCTTGGTCCTTCGTTCTCTAAGAGCACCAAGGTCATCAGGAGGGTGATGTCTTTTTTTTTTGGGGGGGGTGAGGCAATTGGGGTTAAGTGACTTGCCCAGGGTTACACAGCTAGTGAGTGTTATGCATCTGAGGCTGGATTTGAACTCAGGTGCTCTTGACTCCAAGGCCAGAGCTCTATCCACTACTCCACTTAGCTGCCCCAGGAGGGCGATGTCTTGACTTGCAAGTAAATTGGATTTAAACGAGGCAGGGCTGTTCAAAGTCATCAGCCCCACTCTCTCCTCCAGAGTCATTGGAGTCCAGTGGCAAGACATTGGTCAGGATGACTGGTGATGGCCCAGTCAGGGACCTTAAAGTCTAATGGAGAGACAATATGTATGTACATTGGTCTGTACAAGATACAGAGTAGATAGAAGGTGATTCTTAGTCTCAGCCCTGGTTGAAAAGAAGATCATTTGAATGATTCAGTCTTGCCCAAGCAACAGGTGTGGGCCACTCTTCTCTCTCCTTTGGGTGGTATTATTACTACTTGCATCTTCATCTCAGAGCTGTATGAGAAAGGCTGATATCTACATCAGTCTATTTGGGTACTTGCTGACAGCTTAGATGGCCGAAATAATTTGTATTTTACCTGCATCCTGTTGCCATAGATAATTACAAGTGAGGCATACATTTATCAGTTGTTGATGTATTTTCAGGGATTCCCACCCCCCAGCCTTTTTTTCCCCTTCTTTCTTTACTCTCTGCTCTCACTTGGCTGACAGAGGTCAGACAGGTACGTATTCATTTGGGAGGAGGTGTGGAATAAAAATATGTAATAATGAGCTCCTTTGACTTCGGCTTCAACAATTTAGCTTTGGAACAGTGGGTGGAGTTATTCTCGGAGCCCCAGTTTGAAGATTGCTGTGCAGAAATCCATCTGTGCAGCTGGTTGCCAACATTTCTGGTACAAATATTGTCATTTGCTCTTGAGGCAATCTGCTATTTCAGTCCTGGATACAGTTTTGTAATATGCTGGGCAAAATAGCAGGGAAAAAATATCTTAAGTGGTAGTATAATCTTCAGTTTAAAAACACTTAAGCAGTGTTTCCAGTAGAAGATTGTTCAATGTGTCGCCTTCACTGCTCTGGCAGCAAACACATTCTAAACACTTTTTTTTCTCCCACTTGACTGAGCTGTGGTTCCCTTGTTTGAGTCGCTATACACCCTTAGCTTCTGCACCCATCACAAAGGCAGGTGAAGTGAAATTCACAAGGCTCGCAGAGTGAGAGTTGGAAGGGGCCACAGACACCATCTGGCACGGCCTCTCCATTTAACAGATGGAGAAACTGAGACCTAGAGAGGTGGGGACTTGGCCAGCGTCACACACGCCTTCCCCCTTCCTGTTAGTGCCCTTTGTCCTGGTGAGGCTGCTCCTTCACAAACATTGAATTCTAGTCCACTTCCATGACTGTCAGCAAGGCAGACTTTGCACAGTTAGAAGGACTAGTTTTCTGTATGATCAAAACTCTCTTTACAGAGTTCATTATGACTTTCTGCCTTGTTTTCCACCATAACCCTGTAAGGGTACTGTCTCCATTTTACTGTGGAGGAAATGGGACTCACTTTTTGCTTTCATTTTTGTATCAGTCAACAACAACAATAATGCTAGTACTGAAGGATTTGAGCTCAAATCTGGATGTGTCATTGAACCAATGGATGAAGGTTCATGGAATTAGCTCTCCATGGGTGACAGCTGCACGAAGTCAGCCAGCAAGTACATCAACAAAGAAGCGTTAATTAAGCAAATGGCTGATTTGTGCAGATTTGTTTGTAGAAATAAAGGGGCTTGTGAAAAGCGATTCATTGACACCAAAAATTACAGAAGGTGTTATCCTTAAAGAGCCCAAACTCAGTGTAACTCGTGCAAGTAAGCAAGAGAGTGTAGCGTGTCACTGCAGGCTGCAAAGACTGAGCACCTACCAGGTGAGTACTAACAGGACCCAAGGTGGTGTCTAGAATTATCCCCCCAGAAGCTTGCTGTCTTTCATGGACTGGCTGTTGATAAATCTTCAAACTACAAATACAAATTTCCTAGAGAACACAACCAATAAACTACTGAAATTGGACCATTATCATTGACAGAGCTGTTGCCCACAATCACTCATTGATTCCCAAAAATTTAAGAACAGTGTTTTTAATACCACCACAGCCAAAATTCATGTTCTCAAAACTGCTTGGGACAGAAAGCTTTTAAAGTATTGAGACCCAGCAGAGGAGATCACAGTCCTGTGGGAATGGGAGGAGAGGTACCCATCATCACCGTCATCTTGTCTGCCACTGGGGTTGTACTGAGTATGCTTTCAGTGAACCAAAATGGCGTGGGTTTACAGACTAACCCTTTTATTCATTTGTAAGAATTAATACTTTTTATTCAGTGATTGGCACAGTACCCGGCAAGTAGTAGGTACATAATTAATGCTTATTGACTATAAAAAAAAAGCACTCTTGTCTGTGGAACATTAGATGTAGAAGATGAGTAGTAGAATAGGAACTTGTCCCAGAACCTTTTCTATTTGAATCCCTTGGAAAAAAAGATGAGAAAAATGAAGTGGTGGTGATGGTGATGATGATGATGATAAAGGAGCTTGGACTTAATGTGATCAGTGGAAATTATGCAAGGAAATGGTAGCAGTGTGTCACTGCAGGTTGCAAAGACTTAACCTGTTCCTTAGCAAGACATGTCCTGGTGGCTAGAATTATAGAGCAGAAGTTTGCTATCTTTCATGGACTGAGAGTTGGCAAATCCCCATATTATACGTACAGACTTCAAAATGTCCTTGAGAACTCAGCCAACAAACTGTATTGGTATGGGAGCATTATTACAGACTAAACTGTTGCCCACAATTGCCTGGACATAACACTGATCCCGCAAAACTTAAGAATGATGTTTTTAGTAGATGTTGCCATACCAAATAGTCATAATCTCTGAGCTGTGTGGAATGAAAAGATTTCGTAATCAAGAGATCCAGCACAGGAGATCAGAGTCACATGGGAACAGTCTGAGGATGAGGTTCATATCATTCCCTTTGCCCTGTTTGCTACTGACATCATGCCAAGGATACGTCCAGTGATCCTGGAGAAGATGGCCTAGAGACATTCTCATACTTTTATTCAGCTATAACAGTTATTATCTACCTGTAAAATAGTCAACAAAACAGCCAATATAAAATAATAACAGGAGAGCAGCTTATCCTAATACTGTTTTTTTAACTGTGTTCTGTTGAAAAGATGAGGAGAATGATTGGAATTGTCCTTAAGATACTTTGATAAGATTAGCTCATATCACAATACTTTTACTAGATTGAAAAAAAAAAAGTCATTTTATCTACCTGTGGGGTAGTGTACAGAAACTTCTCATCATTTTATAGTTCTTTAAGGTTTACAGAACCTATACATATGTTGTCTTATTTGAACCTTACAACAACCCTGTGAGCTAAGTGCTATTATTATTCCCATTTTATGATGTGGAAACTGAGGCTAGGAAAAGGTAGTGTCTTGCCTAGGATCACTGAGATATTAACTGTTCAAGGCAGGTTTGGAATTAATTCTTCCTGACTCCAACCAAGTCTGTAGTTCTTAACCCCCTGGTACCGCATAGCTATCAAACAATATAAAAGAATGATAATTACATAACTATCCCCAGAACCGTTTCTATCTGAACTTCATTGAAAAAGATGAGAAGAATGAGAGATAATGGCAGCTG